ATGTTTACCTTATATTCAAGGACAAAGCTGCTAAGTTTTATCTATAACCCTTCTGATGTAATTGCCTATGAGTTTATGCACGGAGGGATACAGCAAATGATCACTAGAAGAGAGCCACCGTTTGCACCCATCCCATTTAAATTCTGCTTCTAGGGCAAATACCTAGCAACATAGTTTAAGCCTCAACTTTCCCAGCCTAAAACTCTGTTAGCACTCTCTCCAAATTCATCACTTATATCTTGTGGGTAAAAGAATTTCCAGTTCTCAAATGATGATGTGCCAGCTCTTCCCTGCTACGATCCTCAGAAGAAATCAGTGTAAAACTTGCCAAAAAAAAAAAAAAAAAAATCAAGTTATCAAGCTTTACACATGCAAGGAGTCAGAGGGTTCTCCCAAAGGTCATAGTTAGGAAAGGTTTCTTCGGGCAATCCAGTTCTTGTCTGGTGGGTGACAACCACATCCTCCACAAAAGTGGCCCAACCCATGTAAGGGTCCCCAAAAGACTTGGACATAAGTCCCTTGTCTGGTTTTATAGATTTTTGCCGGTGACCCATGTATCTTCGTGCCCCTATGATCAATTTGGCAAAGTTACCCCCGTGTGTCATCACGAACACATCAGACTTCAAGCATACTAAGAAATCAAGAGCAGCCAGGCTTGTTACATGTTTTCTAAAAGCAGCCAATTCATCCTTGCTTGCCAACTCCTCCTTTGTTACCTGTTATAGAAAGGCAGGTGGAAAGTGAGCATGCTCAGTTTATCTTTCCTTCATATAAAACCTAGAGGGCAGTGAGATGAGAATTAAACACTTGTTTTCACTGTCATTTGCATCCATCCCATATAAGTGCGTCCATCCCATATAAGATGTACCCATGTATGAACCATTGTCGAAGGGTATGAATGTGTACTAAAAAGTAGTAGCAAGTATTCTCTTCCTGAGTTTTATTGCAATAGCATATGATCATGGACATTACTATACTTCTGGTGGACCTAGAAGTGGTTGTAAAACCAATAGTGCTAAAAAGTGATTGTGCCATTCTATGCCATAGATAGTTTTAGAAATGGGAAGACCCCTTTCACTTTCAGCTGACAAGGTATGATTTTGAGCAGCAAGATTATCCAGCTGGCACTCATCACTTAATTTCACATTTCAGCCCAAAAGAAAACATTTTTGTTTCGAGTAAAAAAAAAAAACTGAGTCAATTGACTTACTGCATGAAAAATTGACCCATATGCTTACCAAATTAGGGAACATGTTCCTTAGTGGTGCCATCCTATTCTGTCCACCATAGACCTGCCCAGAAGCAACATAGATTTGTGTCTCCTTTGGATAGCCCATTGCTCTAAGAATGACTGCTACTTCTCCAGGCTCAAGAGGACACCGTCCTTCCTTCCGTTTCTGCAGGGCCAGCTGCCAGAGATGGGACCCATTCTGCATAACAAGGTAAGCAGAGTACAATAACCATCAGTAGGGGATCCTTCAAGTGTTCCACCGTAATCACAAAACTGATAAATTTATAAGTCACCTTATAACGTCGGGGCCATTCCTTCTTTCGGTATTCTGCCATTCTAGCTTTCTCCTCCCTTGTTCCCACAAAATCACAGAAAGATAGACCTACCATTCCTTTCTCGAATCTAAGATGAAGAGCCCTGTTTAAGAAGGCATTGTTAATAGGAGACACTACTAGATCCTATTTGGTTCATTCTCCGTCCAACTAATTCCTAGTTCTAATATTCATTTTCCTTTCAATTCAACTAATTCCTAGTTTTACTTTTTATATTAGTCTTGAAATACATATCAAGGCTAACACAAAAATTAGAAGTAGAAATACTAGGAACTGAATGAAATATGGACCAAACAAGCCGTTAGAGTTAGAATAAGAGAAATCAAAACATGAATTCATGAACTTCTGAACGAAATATGGATCAAACGAGCCGTTAGAGTTAGAATAAGAGAAATCAAAACATGACTTCATGAACTTCTGACACCAGTCTCACATACATGTAAGGATTGGAACTTCCTGTGCGGTTTCGCATCCTTGATACCAGCAAATCAGCCATCTGCTCTATCTCAGGAAGAAATTTTAGTGCATGATAATTCACCCGACATCTTAGCCTGTTTATTTCTGGAGGAACATTATCATAACTGAGCCAAACACCAAAACGAACAGGAAAACAAAAAATATTATTGACGACACAAGAAAATTTTCATGGAGCAAAATTTTAAATTTGATGCCATGTAATATCAATAATATTAATGACTTACCCCAAACGATCAACAAAAGGTTTCAGGGCCATTATCTTCTTCTCCTTTATACGATGCAAAACATTGTCAATGTAGAACTGTGCTGGTGCATATTTTGGAATATTTTTCACTGTCCGCCTACATACATCATACAAATTACTTTGCGAAGAAAAGCCAGTTGTGCAAAATGAAATGTGCATTTATCTGTTCAAACTATCTCGAATTG